TAAGCATACCTCAAGAATTCCTTTCCAAGATGCATCCGTGCATGACTAGCTAGATAGAGACAATAGTCATTCTGTAGGTTTAGGAACTTGACATGGGCAAGATCTCTACTGACTAACATCTCCATGAACAAGCAGTTTGCATCACTATATTCCGGAAAAAGTAAGCAAAATCCATTGTTCAGAAAAGAGTGCTCCAGCTTGTAAAAATATATTCAAAATTAATGAGACTAAACAAACCTTTCACAGTTGCACCACAAGAAGTGACTTGAGTGTCTAAGAGCAATATACAACCAAGTGTATCGGTTGTTCCAGCCAACAACTCCATCCAAAGAGAAAAAGAAAATGTACCACTCAGGGATAAGGTGAGTTTTTCACCCTTTCCAGGGTGATCCTTCAAACATGTCAAAGGTGATAGTGCAATGACATCAATGACATTCAAGAGGCTTTAGAAATAAACAAATGTAAGGGTTCAGAAGAGTAGAAGGAGAATCACTAATCTGATATGCTAATGGCACATAAAATTCAAAGTGCAACAGTGGCCATAACGAATACAAAACAACGCAAAATAAAACTACTTTCCCTATCTCTGTTACACTTTAACCATATGTCATAACAATGAGGACTCTCTATTAGTTAATACAAGCCCATAATTACAAAAGCATTGAAGAGTATACATAACAAAATCTGCAAAGAAAAAGCAGGAAACTGTAACAGGAAATGTAGCTAGTTGAAAAATGAGAGAAACACCACAAATAGAACTTACAGTAAATTGAAGTTGTTAAACAAAGTGATTATGATGTTACTGAAGTACAAAGAGAAACAAGTTCAGAGCTACATAATCTTAACATCTTCTACCATCGTCTCAGTTTTCTTAATGAAACAATTTAGATTCTTCGATAAATGAATTACCTTTCAACTTCCAACAATCTGTAGTTATGCAATAATAGGCTTAACATCGTAATAGAACCAATTAGGAAAGAAATCAAATGCAAAATTGTTGAGGTTATTCTCCTGACTTTCGTTGGTAGTTGGCCCACTCTGCCATATCATGTAATAGTTGAAAACAAGGAATGGTTGAATACACTGCAGGCTGCGGTATAACTCTTGACAAAAAGGCTCCCACTAAGGACCTGCTTCTATCTACCGAAAGTCTAGCAGGATGAGACAAATTTAGTCAAGGAGATAACAAAATAAAGACAAAGATAATAGGCACACCTACAAAAGCATCAATTCTTGCTGTGATTTATTATGAAATAAGCTGCAAAATATATTATTGCAAAACACAACAAATTAACTTACTGATCTGAAAGCTAAGATCACAACAACATCTCCTATATTGACTGCACAGCAGTAAGTTTGACTTGACTGTCCAACAATGAAAGCAGCTGAATCCAAATACTAGAATAAGTTCACAGAGTTTCTATTATTCAATTGAAAAAGAACAAGCAGCATAACTAAAAATGAACCACAGAAACAATTCTTTTAAATGCTTAGACTATTGTTCTATAGACTTTGTTTATCTTAGCAGCAGATCTCAGAAATAAGAAATGATTTATGAAGATAATACTAAAATAATGACAAAATGTAAAGACATTTATATTTTAGGATGCCTCTCTTTGTTCAACAGACTCTAAGTTTAGGATGCCTGCAGGATATACCATTGTCATCTGTAAGCAAAAATATCTAGTTGAGTAGTTAAGCAAAAATCATCAATTTTTTAAACACTTCTAGGTTAACATCTCAAGAAAATTTTTTTAAAAAAATCATCTTTTCACTTTTACCAGTGTATTAAAATCTGGTGTAGGATCTTGAAGTCAGGTCAGATCAGGTCAGCCAACAAAGAATAAACCAACAGATAAACTTTGGATGTACTGACTGAAAGAATAAATATAGTTTCTATGCTTAAACTATTTTGGAAATCATGCACCCAAAAATTACTCAAAACCTCTTAGACCATTTGAAGAACTTCTATAGAATCCATTTGCAAGTGGCAGGGTAATTATATAAGGAATCACCTGGAGTTCTGCTAATGGAGAAGTCATTATGCCAGTGATTGCAGCATCAACACACAACCCATGCATTTTAACATCCATAACTGATATGGCAATCTCCAATAAGAATTTTCCAGATCCTCTGAGCCTTTCCTCTTGGGTGTCCAGTCCCAAAACTGAGAATTTGTTCCTTATAACCATCACTGAAATCTGAAGTATACTCTACAACACCAGAGCCAGAGAGATGGACTATTTGATTGATGTGACTTTCTTTATCTTAGCTTTTGTCCAGGAACAAGAAATGATCCATGAAGATCACACCATAATTATAACAATATGTAAAGATATTTGTCATGTTTCAACAACAACTCTTAGGCTCTAGAAGCAAAATAAAACGAGCACTTACACCAGCCATAACAACAAAAGCCTTGTCTGGAGATGTGTCTTGGGTCATATATCTGTTTAACAGACTCTTAATTTTAGGATGCCTGTAGGATACTCCTTATATATATATGTAAGCAAAAGTATCCATTGATGAGTTTACCACTAGAACAACAATTTCAACTCTAATTTATCTAAGAAAAAAAATAAGATGAAACTAACTGATGTCTACATTGTATGATTGACCATCCATACAGTACAAGCAAACAGAATTTAAATAAAAGTTCACGAATGAGAAATTTATGATCCACTATTACCTTCCTTCAATATATCCAACTCAGAACTTACATATGTTAATGCTAAAGCTAATTTCTTGATATTTTTTAACAAAATCCCAACAGAAATTTACTCTTAATTTCTTGTTTATTGTTTAATTAATGCCCTCGTCTTCAAAACAATCTCTTGATTTCTACATCTACAGGACAAACAATAAAATCCGACCAAACCATTCATGCACATTTAAAATCATTAATTTATTCCACACAAAAAATAACCACAGCTTCCTCCGTTAATACAAGAGTTTACTATCTCAAGAAAATAGAATGTAAAACACAAAAAGAAATTTACCTATCTAGAGTTGGCGATGGCTAGAGAATGGGCCTCCAGAGAGCAGAGGCCGTCTCGGCCGTCGATCGGCTAGCACTCCTAATCCTCTTCCAAATCGCTCGGCTGCGTCCGCTTCGAGACTGATTCGAAGTTTCAATTGATCGGGAAATATGGCGAAAGGAGACAATTGGGGTTCACACCACATTTTAAGAAATTTTCATTTTTATTCAGTAAAACGCACCGTTCAAAGGCAACCAAACCAAAGGGAGAGGATAAAATATGATATGAAGAGATTGATTGGCAAAAATCACAGAAGGATCAAATTACAGTAACAAAATACACGAGAACTGCGTGTAGAGCAGATAGATCAAATCCAAAAGAAATCAACACAAATTCATACATAACCATAATTCCCACACAAGTCAATACAACTATATATCAACAATGAACATGAAAAAGACAGAAACAAACTCAAGAAGCAACTGTTGCCAGATCTCCCCGGAGTAGGAAATCAACAGCACCTGTTTGCACCTACATGAAACAAAGCAAAAGTAGAAAAATAAAGTGTCACTATTATATAATATGCCTTGATTTTTATGGTTAGAATTTTTATAGGACACAAATATTATAGAGAGTTATAGAAACTTACTCACTTAAGAGCGTTGGTTGGGTTTTTGGGTTTTTCTCTGCTTATGACTTCGGCTCCCATTTCTGTTGATATTTCTCCACTTTCTTCACTAACCACCATGGTTTTCCTATAGTGAAGGCAATGTATCCCAGACTAAGTCCCAACACCAGTCCACACCCATAGCCTGCCAATGCAAACTTCCACTCAAAGACTGCTGTAGAGTCATCTTTTTCATCAAATTGTGGTGAAGGTGGCCTTGGTTCTTTGCATTTCTTTGTCAATGGGAATCCACACAACCCAGAGTTCCCAGTGTAGGAATCATTTGAGAAAGTACTAAACTGCTTCCCTTCAGGTATGTGGCCCACAAGTTCATTGTGTGAAAGATTCAAAACTGATAGGAACGTCAGCTTTATCAATTGCTCTGGAATCCTGCCTTCAAGCTTGTTTGATGAGAGATCTAATGACTCGAGTTCTGCTAATTTCCCCAATGACGACGGGATTTGACCATTGAGACTATTGTGAGATAAGTTTAGCAATAAAAGTGAATTGAGTTCTCCCAGCTCTTCAGGAATCGGTCCTTGAAATTGATTGCTCGAGAAATCTATAGTTGTGAAAATTTTCAAGATCCTTACAAGCTCCCTCTCTGACCCTTTCATTATTACCTTCACAGAATCCTTATAAATAATCATTCCAAAATCTACGCAACTTTTTTCTGTTAAACATTTTATATTGTCATCAATGTATTCCGAATTGACTTTATCAGCTGGATCTATATCTCTCATACCTTTCCAAATTTTGAAATAGTTACCCGGTAAGAGACCCATAAAATCATTCTGTGCGACATCAATGATTCTCAACTGAGGGAAGTAAAATGCAGGCACAGAATTGCTAATGACACCATGAAATCGATTAGACCGAAGGATGAGAACCTTTAGCAATGGAAGAACACCTAACCAATGTGGAAAGGTATCATTCAAGTTGTTGTTCCCCACATCTAGAATTTCCAAGAAACTACAATTAACCAAAGACCGTGGCAGTATCCCTTCCAACTGGTTGCCATTTAGGCTGAGAGTTAAGAAGAAACTGCTGACAAATAAATTTGGAATCCTACCATGGAACTTATTCATCCGCAGATCTAAGATGTTGAGATGACTCAAGTTTCCAAGACATTCTGGAATTTTTCCTCTCAACCTATTATTAGCTAAGACTAGAACTTTTAGAGAAGTAAAATTACAATAAAAAGAAGGGATTTCACCAGTCAAATTATTCCCTGAAATGAGGAGTTTTTGCATAGAATCCCAAGTTGTTGATAGAATGGGAAGTGATCCTTGTAGTAAGTTGGATCTGAGGTCAACAATTTCAAGATTTCCAAAACCAAATAATTCTATACCAGTCAAGAAGTTATAAGAAAGGTCTAATGTATCCAATGACATCCCTTCTATTTCCCATTTCTGAATTTGACCAGAAATCTTGTTCTTGGAAATATCCAATACTTCCAATCTCTCTGCCTTCCTTAAGAAACTTGGGAACTTGTGTATGTTGCAAGAAGAGAATTTTAAAGACCAGAGGTTCGGAAAGGAATAGTTAACAGCAGTGCCATTATTGCTCAAAGACAACAAACTGTTATTGGAAAGATCAAGATCCTCAAGGTCTACAAGCTTTGAAAGCATGTCGGGTGTAATGGTGCCAGTGAAGTTATTTGAAGAAAGGTCGACTCTAGTAAGATGCACAAGATCAAAGAAGGAGCTAGGAATTGAACCACTTATCTCATTATTGGACAAATAGACTTCTTGTAAAATGAGATTGGGCATCTCAACATGATCAACTGGTCCGGTAAGGCAGTTGTTTTGGAGGTCTAAATGGGATAAAGAAGGCAGAGAAAACAACCAAGATGGTACACGACCTAATAGCTTATTTGATGATAGTGATAAAAAAGTAAGATGGGTGAGGTTGAAGATTGATGCAGGAATTTTACCACCAAAATTGTTTTCATCTAATCTCAAATCAGTGAGCTTGTGTATTTTTCCAAAAACATCTGGTATTTGCCCTCGCAAATGGTTGGCAAAAAAATCTAGTTGAGTTAGCTCTGTAAGATTTGCAAGAGATCCAGGAATTGATCCATAAAATTGGCAGCCATGAAGATTCAATTCCTTCAGGAGTTTAAGATTTCCGATTGAATGAGGCAACTCTCCTGAGAAGGATGTGTTTGCAAGATTCAAATACTTGAGGGTACTACTCTGGTTTGACTCCGGTAAATTACCTCTTAAATCAAAGTTGTAGCTTAAATCAAGAAACTGGAGAGATGGAAGCTGAAAAACTTGGTTTGGAAAGTTTCCTTGCAAATTACAATGGTAAAGGTTCAAATATTCTAAGGAGGAAGTCAAGTTTAGCAAGGAAGAAGGCACAACCATAGACATATTCACAGAATCAAGGATAAGAAACCTTAATTCTGTTAAGTTATGCACAAGCATTTGAAACTTTATGTTGTCAAGAAGCAAACCATAATTATCAGAGAGATCGAGTGAAACCAATTTCGGTAGCAAGAAGATCTCATCAAAGGGGAAAGAGCCATCCAGGAACATTGAATCTACAAGGTTAAAGATTTGTCACATTAGAAGAAGTGAAACCAGTTTTGGAAGCATGGAGATTTTAAACAAAAGAAAAAGAAATGAAATCCCGTACCTGAAAGATTAAGATATGTCAAACTCTTCCAACGGTTGAACCCAAAAGAGAGATTGGGTAAGCAAAAATGGTTGTAAGCAAGGTTGAGGTTCTGCAATTTCTCAAGGCGGAAGAGACTACTATTTGAAGTTAGATTGGCTTCAATACAATTCCAGCTGAGATCAAGGCCAATCACGTGACCTTTCACCTTGTCGCATGTGATGCCCTCCCACAAGCAGCAGTCTTTACTCTCGTTCCAAGTTTGTATTATAGGACGAGGAGTAGCATAATCATCAAAATAGAATTCCTCCAAATTAGTAGTGCTTTTGAAATCAAGCAATGCAGAACGCTCTTCAGGACGGCACAAATGTGGGGATGAATCGGAAGAAGATTGAGAAGGTGAGGAGCTTTGGACTCGAAACCGTAACAACATGAAGGAAAGGCAGAGGATTTGGGAAAACCTTATTAAACTTGCCATTTTCTTAAAGATGAACACAAGTCGGGAAACAAAGGAGTGATGGATTATTCAAAATTGTAGGGCTGGACACAAGAATTTATGGTCTTCCCAAAAGTGAAAGCCCCTCGGCTTTTCTCCAAATTACGTGTTACTTCTTTAACATGGTCAAATTTTTTCTTTATCATTTTATAAAAAAATAGTGTTCGCACAATTATTAAACTTACTTCTATAATTTAATAAACGGTAGAATGGTTTTCCGTCAATCGTGTCAATTGTTAGATGGACTGGAATATTGAAACGGTGCACCGTTTCAAGTTAAGGCTCTTGTCCCAAGTTTGCTTTTCTCGTCTTCAACTTTTCCTTGTTTCCAAAAATTCATAAACCCTATAAGCAGAAAGGTATTTTCTTGGCACAAGCAAAAAGTATACAATTGACTGGAAACAAAAATGGTTATATCCCCGATTCAGTCCCTCAACTTTCATTTTTGAACTAAAACTACCCTCGAACTTCAAAAAGTACTAAAAAAATCCTTGAACTTCAATTTTTGGGACCAATTTCGTCCTTCCG